TTTAAAATCCAATTGACAGCTCATCACTGCATACACAACTAGCGCGACCGGCGGTTAAAATGTAAACAAAAAATTAATGGACGCGAATGACGCGATCTTTATTCGAGTGTGCTAAAATAAGTTGGATTACAGCGATTTGATTTGATTCGTTTTGCAATTTCAAGACGAAGTTAAGATGATTCTATTACAATGACAAATGACGCGTATTGCAAGATAAGCTTATGAATTTATTTTTTGTAATATTGTTGTTTGCACGGTTCGATGAAATACATGACTTCATGTATGAATTTCCCAGTAATCTGCGGCCACAATGTCACTGGCCGCTGACTGATGGGCGGACAGGCCTTATGAAAATGCAACTTTCCAATCCCTTATTTCCGTACAAACAAACACGACACCGAATTTATTGCTGGCAGGTGATTTCAATGATTTATTATCTGGCTTCCCAAGTCCTATGAGTGAAATTGCACCTGACGAATTGATACCGTCTTTTGCTAATTTTATACACGATTTAAGCAGCTTTTCATTCGAGGATACAGTCAGCGCTAATACTATCGCCATGGAGCACAGTTATTCTAGAGCTTGGAACTGGAGGCCAGAAACTAACACCTTCAAGCCTGCGAGAAATTTGCTAGTACACAGACCACCTGCTTGTCCTGGATGCCATGAAGAATCTGAAGATCCCTATATAGATGTAGATGGTCCTCTGAGTCCCCCGCCCCCATTACCTTATGATGTTGAGAAAGGTAGATTATCTATGAATGAAATCGAAAACAAAGTTGAATACATTACCAAGTCTGAAGATGATGAATGGGAAGATAAAATTGATCGTAAACATTGGAGTGCTAATGAGAGAGCTTATTTTGAACGGTTGAAGACTATTTTAAATGATGATTTGGTTGCAAGATTGACTGTACCAATATCGAAATGAACCGGTGCTCAGAAGATCAATAGTGGATCGATCAGTATTGAAATTCAGACGTGCTTTTAGTACCATAGGATGGGATATGAAAATTCTGCAGGGGATGCATAATGTGTTTATTGATCACTTGAACAAAAGACTGCTATCTGTTTATATAGACATTTTACAGGGTCTTAAAAGCAAATTACCTGTTCTTGTTGATAAATTAATGTTTAGTAGTATTTTTAGGAACGGTGCGTGTTATGAAGGACTTGTTGATTTACTGAAAAAGCCTTGGAATCCTTTAGATGATAACATTATTAATAGTAAAACTAAAAAGATACCAAATAATCCTATATTTTTTTGTGTGTCCAAGCTGTCCACAAGTTAACTCAATGCTACCAAGTCGATATCAACAATTAATGTCTTTTTAAGTGCCATTGCAACAGTTGAAAATGTGTCATTAAATCTAGGTTTCTCATCATCTCGGTTTACACTCACACAAGTAGTTGAACATATGCTGGCGACCTCCAGAACGCGGTTACAAGAAGTTAAATCCGAAAATCCGGATAGGCCTATTATACTTATAGGTTTTCATAGTGGAGCATCATTAGCATTCCAAATTGCACAAACTGAAATGGTCACTTGTATTGTATGCATTGGATTTGATATTCACACAGCGGAAGGTATGAGAGGAACTCCTGATGATATTATTTTAAATATTCCATGTCCTATTTTATTTATAATGGGGGAAAATTCTGCAAGATCACATCCTGAAGAAATTGAGAACTTACGAGAAAATATGAGTGCAGAAACTTCCCTTATTATTATTGGAAGTGCTGATGATTCTTTAAGATTGAGTTGTAATAAAAAGATTTATGAAGGTGTTACACAGCCTATGGTTGATAGATGTATTATTGATGAAATAGCAGATTATGTGACATCTATACTACTTAATCCGTATCCTGATGCCTCAAAGCAAAGAACGAGTTATATCACTAATTATAAACAATCCTCCATCAAAAACAATTTCGAACTAAAAAGATATCAAAACGTAGGTTTTCTAGTGGCAGTTATTGTGATAATGACCTTAATTTGAACCTCATCCTAAACGAGTTAGACCTGTAGGTCGCCAAGAGGATCATCATCAAAAAAAAATTAACCTACAAATGGATAGCACATTACATTATTCAAACCTTGGTAATATCACAGTGAGTTCCTTGGACGAGTCACCGGCTAATTGTAATAAGGTAACTATAATCGTCAGAATAATCATGTAAAACATCGTAATGCATTGAATGAGTTTAATGAAATGCAGCAACAAGATGTGATCGACAGCGGTAATGAGCATATTACCTGAAATATCATGATAGTCAAACGCCTAGAAAAGTTCTCACACCAATGAATGATACACTGGCAAGAAATGAATCATCTTTGGTTATTACAGATCCAAATCATCCTCCAAGAATAAAGACGTTTGATTCATCAAAGTATAAGTTGTCAACTTACAATGCAAGTTCTAATTCTAATAAACTTGTTTTGTCTGCGAATAATTTAAGTCAAAGATTCAAGGGTAATGCTAAGTTAGTCAAGATGTATTTGCCGCAAAGTTCTAATGTGTCCAAACCAGGAAAATCTTCAAATGCTTTGTGTACGAAGCCTTCAAATGACCAATTAGCTGGTACAAATATTTTAGATATCCCCATAGTTTTTGCAGATAACGACGGTTACATTAATGAACCTTAAAAGTGGAAGATAATACTTCCCCACAAGTGAGTACTACAAAAGTCAATAAAAAGCCTATTAAAATGATTGTTTAAACAAAAGTTCAAAACCTCATCTACATAATTTAGTTTAAAACAGTGATACAAAGTTATCGTCGGCGAGTCAAAAATCAAGTGCAAATAACAATAGTGATAATAAGTACCCTAAAATATTATTTAGACAGTCGCCTGTGCAGAACATTGTACGTTTAACACAACCCAGTCACAGCAAAGTGTATCTTCATCAATAGACTTCAAAAATGTGGATTTAGAAAGCAAACTTGTGGCGAATAAAGTATTAAAAACAATTCCACCTGCAGTTAACAAATAACACCAATCGGTGAGTCTGTGTCCCCTGCAATAGTGATATCAAAACAAAATACTGCTGACTGTCGGATCCAGAATGTCGGTGTATAAAAGTGGTGACAAGGACAATAACGATAAGACTACTGTAAAATTCTCCTATTATCTTTCGACCCGGTACACAAATCAAAGCTATACCAATGCTACAAGCCCAAAATATCTTAAATCGAAACTTTTCTATTAAGAAGAATCCAAAGTGTAACTTTAGCCCTGGACAAAAGGTGACCCTCCAACAGATCAGTTCCAAAGACAATAGTGACGCTTAATTACATATATACATTAATGCAAACTCATTTGTGTGTATAAATTGTATATATGATAAAATTGTCTGATGATATGAATTTTATATGTTAGTAAAGGAATTTAAAAACTATGTTAATTCATTCTTTGTTCAAGAATAAATGCTTCTTTTCCTAAGACTGTGGTATTAGTTATTGTTAAAGAAGTAAATTCATAATAGGAATCTATCTTCTAACTACCAATATCACTGTTTAAATTATGACCAATGTATCTTTGAATAATTTGCTAATACTATATCTAATCATTTAACAAACTCTTCATCGTGCAAAAAACACAATTTTATTATTTGTGAGACTAAAAAATGTATCTTTGAAATATTTATTTGCAGCCAAATAGTCGAAATAAAAAGCAAAAAATAATTATCTTTGCATTATGTACGTTTCGACACTATGTGTGTCATCATTTATTCAATATATTTAAAAAAATGTATTTTTTATTTCAAAAAATTAAAAAAATCTAAAATTTTATTAACTTCCCGTAGGGTAAGTTATAGTAATCGCAAGAAAATCCAAAATGAAAATTTTTATATATCTTTACGTTTCAGAGGTTTCTGAATATTTTGGCATACCTTAGAAAAAATGGATGTATGTGTGTGTACGTGTATTCGGATAAAAATTTTCGTCGACGATTTCGGGAACACGGATGAAGCTATTTCAATAATTCAAAAAACATTCGATTCGTATTGATAAGGAGACGTGCTGATTAGTTTTGCCGAAAACGGTAACTCAGTTTTTAAGAGAACGGAGCGTCCGATTTGAATAATTCAAAAAAACATTTTACTTGTATTAACAAGATGAACAACTGATCAAATTTTCATGAAGGCAGGTCCAGCGGTTTCGGAGATCTAGTAAAAAAAGTAAAAACTAGTGGGGCGCATGGCATCGTGCCTTAAGGCAAATTGCTGGAACTTCCCGTACTAATAATTATTTTCTTTTAAAATTATTAACATTTTTGAAAAAAAATTACTTGGAAAAAAATAGATTTTTGAGAAACTCTAAAATAATTGCATAGAGACGAAATATCGAAGCGCGTAAGCGCCGCGTCGCCGTCTAACGGATAAACATTGGTACGGAACCGATAGGAATGTAAACAAAATTTATACTTATTGTTAAAATCTCTATAAAATATCTGATAATTTGATGTGCATATGTCTAATGATCATTTTTGTCCGCCAAATGGCATTTTTTTTTACATTATTTTACTTTTTTTACTAGATCTCCGAAACCGCTAGACCTTCATGAAAATTTGATCAATTCTTCATCTTGTTAATACAAGTAAAATGTATTTTGAATGATTCAAATCGGACGCTCCGTTCTCTTAAAAACTGAGTTACCGTTTTTGGCACTTTTTGCCAAATATCTTCGGAACGGCTAGAGACCTGCCTTCGCCAAAAACTAATCAGCACGTCTTTTTATCAATACGAATCGAATGTTTTTTGAATTATTCAAATCGCTTCATCCGTGTTCCCGAAATCGTCGACGAAAATTTGTATCCGAACACACATACATCCATTTTTTCTAAGGTATGCCAAAATGTGCAGAAAACTTTGAAACGTAAAGATATATAAAAATTTTCATTTTCGAGTTTTTTGCGTTTACCATAACTTGCCCTACGGAAAGTTAAAAAATAATTATCTTTGCATTATGTACGTTTCGACAACTATGTGTGTCATCATTTATTTTTTATTTGAAAAAATTAAAAAAATCTAAAATTTTATTATCATTTTTCAAAAATACCTTAAGTTCTAAAAGTTTTTTTCTTTCAAAAATATCTCCAGTCTAGATGCTATTCACCCGTAGGTCTAGTTCTATACATATACTTCAGTTTAAATTTTAATATGATAAGTTTATTATTACCGGGACAGCGCGTACGCAGTCCCGACTACCAAAAATTACGCGCCCGAGTTATCCACATTAGGGACAATCGCAGGGGTCAGCCCGACCCAAAAGTGCAATGGAAGGGCCTCGCCCTGGGGGAACCGCCTTAGTGATCACGGTAGCCCCCACGCCAGGTAAGTATGCTCTACGGTCGAAAAATTGTTGCCTAACCGAGAACGGTCTATGTTTCGCAAGAAGTAGATAGTTGCTCGCCGAGCGTGAGCTTCGCGCAGACATCTGTTAGTAGGTAACATAACACTGGGGAGCGGTTCTACGATACAAGAATATAAGCGGAACTAGTGGGGCGCATGGCATCGTGCCTTAAGGGGGTATTCTACTGTAGAATTTTGAAAAAATCGAAAATTTTTTTTTCATATTTTCAAAGTTTAGTTATTCAAAAATATGTCATTAAAAGGATTTTTTAAAATTACTATTATTTCCTGAGTTATATTTCGTTTTAGTGACGTGGCCTCGGTTCGGGTCCGACCGAGTCTAAAAACTTTGAACGCGTTTTTCTCGGAACTACTTTTTTCGAGCTGGCGGTAAGGATATCTCGAGTTCTAATGAACCAATTTACTTCAAATTTGGAGAGGATCTTCTCTATACATCGCTTTATCGCATGGACCTTTCCCAAGACTATAACTTTTCATTTAGTATTTTTTACAAATTCGGAATTGTTAAAAAAAACATGAAAAAAAATTTTTTTTTCAAACTGCCGCCATTCAAACAAAAAATATTTTTTTAACTTATCCAAGGTTCATACGATAGCGGCATCTATAATAATTAAGAATCCATCTATTTTTTATGTTTTGGATCACCCGGAGGGTTGGAATCATGCACGCCAGGACACCCTCTTTTTTTTGAGCCCCCACTTTGACTGCTCATAACTTTGTGAATTTTAATTTTTTTTTTTAATAATTTTTTATGTAATAATAAAATATCAATAAACAAATGATAAAAAAAATCGATAGTAAAAATATTATTTGTTTCCTTTATACAGCGCTTCAAAAACCGGGCAAAATTCATGCTTCTACAGTAGAAACATTTTTGACCGCCAAATGACATTTTTTTTACATATTTTTATTGACAGTCCATAACCGCTGGACCTGCCTTCCCAAAAATTTAATCAGTTCTTCATTTCGTCAATACAAGTAAAGTAAAATGTTTTTTGAATTATTCAAATCGGAAGCTCCGTTCTCTTAAAAACTGAGTTACCGTTTTTGGCACTTTTTGCCCCGTATCTCCGAAACGGCTAGACCTGCCTTCGCCAAAAACTAATCAGCACGTCTCCTTATCAATACGAATCGAATGTTTTTTTAATTATTCAAATCGGTTGATCGGTGTTCCCGAAATCGTCAACAAAAATTTGTATCTAAAGTATTTGTATCAAAAGTTCAGATCTTCTACAATATGTCAAAATAAAGAAAAAAAAATTGTTTTCAAAAAAAAAAAATTATTAATTTTTTTTTTTAAATGTTTTTTTCATTAAAAAGTTATTTTTTGTCCAATTTATAGTTTCTCAAAAATCTTATTTTTTCAAAGTAATTTTTTTTCAAAAATGTTAATAGTTTTTAAAAAAATAATAGATTTGGTACGGGAAGTTCCAGCAATTTGCCTTTAGGCACGATGCCTTAATTGCCTTAAGACAGAATTCCACTTACAGCTAGTTTAAAATTTGTCATCCTGACTATTCACAAGTATGACTAAGTGTATCTTTTATCTAAAAATAACCTTATCTTTATTTTATCTTCCTACTTTTTATTTTGTGCAATTAATTTACGAGATAATTGTAACTG